ATGTGGGCTCTCTAAGCTCGCTGCAGCGTTCTGCACAGACTGAAGCCCAGTCAACCAGGATTTGTTTAGACATGTGACAAGACTGTTGCAGTAATCGAAACGAGAAGAAATCAAAGCGTGATGTGAATGTGACGTTATTAGGATGAAACTTTGAAGTTCAAAGCCCGACACATCATTTGGTTCGATTAGAACCAATTTCCAAAGTGTTTCGACTGTAATTGTCAGGTTTTGTCTTCAGGAGTCGGCTGCTCTTTCTCCTGAACCAACAATCAGCTGTTTGACAACTCTTTACACAAAATGAATCAAGTAAAAACACTTGGACAAAAGACAAAACTCCTGTTTGAAGCTGAGGAGTCTTTTGTGAGCAGTAAAATGATAATTTATGATAAAACACAGAAACTTGTGAATTTGTTTATTAAAATGTATCAGATTATCATTTTAAAGAGCAGAAAGTCTCCTTTAATCTTCGTCTGCCTTCATCTTCGCTCTCCTCGCATCAACAATGACTTTGGCTCATAAATAAAAGCTATCATAGTTATTTTAATCCAATAAAAACAGAAAAGTTGGGTTTGTGTGAAAATATTCAGTCATGGGAAATAAAGTCCAGCTCCTTTAGTTTGAAGCTTTTATTTATCAGGACAGAGAATAAATAAATAAATTCTAAAATGATTCTAATTTAACCTGAAGTGAACAAAAACAACAGAATCTGCTGAGTCATGATTTATTAAACTGAGTTCAGTCCTGATCCAGGATTCTGTTGGACCCAGTCTGGTCCAAGTTCTGAGGTCCATGCTGCTGGTTTTCTTTACTAAATAAAAACCTGATGGAGTCTGTCAGGTGTTTCTGTTCACTTCATGTTGGATTTAAATCATGTTAGAGTCAGATAAATATTCAGATCTGTTTAAAGTCTGAACTTAAAGCCTTTCTGAATCAGTTTATCTGTCCTGACAGTTTCATCAGGATAACACAACTCTGGTTTCTCGTAGTAAAACTGCCTCAGTGTCACATTGCAGAAAGCTAAATTGGATTTCTCTGCTGGTTTGTGTGCAACAAATCCAGACTCTRGTGAAGATTTGCATAAAAAGCAGCTGATGTGGTTTGACTCATCTCTGCCAGGAGGATTTATCAAACCTTTCATTCAGCTCACGACGTTCAAAACGGATAATTTTTTCTTTAATTTCAGGCAAAGACAGAAAGTGAAAACAGAGCCGATAAACAAACGGCTGATGTTTCATCATCTCAGAGTCTGTGACACAAACTTACATCATTTCCTTTCAAACTAAATCTTTTCACTGTGTTTTAATGAAAACTGGGTCCTTCTGTCCCACAGTGAGAGCTGAACGTTAATCTGAGCTCAACACATCCTGAAAACAACAGGAATTTATTGTAATTAAAACCTTTTTCACTGAAACTGAGGAAAGGTTTACATGAACCCTGTAATGTCAGGCCAGCTCTGATTGGTTCACCAGTTAGGGGGGGTTAGGGTTGGGGTTAGGTAATCTCCACCTGCCAGTCTGGATTACCTCCAATAATCATTAGAGGTGGGCGATACTGGGAATGTTGGTATCCATCCGATACCAAGTAAATACAGGGCCAGTATCACTGATATCGATRCTGATGTCATGATCTGTGTTAWTTTCTTTACATTGTTTCAATCYGCTCACCTCTAATAATCCCACATCATTCACACTTTGTACAAACTCTTTAAATGAACCTTTTTAAAACCCTGAATCCTGCTCAGTTTAGACTGAATGTTTTGTTTTGTTGTGTTTCTGGGCCTCACAGAAAGTTCTGGTTCTGAGACCTCGGGGTCCACTCACCGACAGCCAGGTTAGCGATGAAGAAGTTGGTGACGGTCCGGAGTGTTTTGAAGCGATAGATGACGTAGATGACAAGAGAGTTCCCCAGGACCCCCAGGACGATGATGGTGCTGTAGGCCAGGATCAGGACCACCTTCAGACAGAACCAGACACACGTTAGTGGACTTCAACCGTCAACCCCACAGCTTTTAGAGCCCAGCCGGTACCTGGACGCTGAGCAGCCTGATGGGGTCCTCGGGAAACACCCCGCCAGCCCCGAACCCCGTGGGCAGAACCGGAGGAGGGATGCCGATGTTGGAGCCGTAGTCGTGGTAACCGAGGTTGTCGGGGTCATTGTCGGGCAGGGGCAGGAAGTGGAGCTCCTCCTGCGTGGCGTTGACGGCGCCGACGGCCTCCATGTCCGATCACACGAGTCCAGCCARCTGATCCATTCTACAGGCGCTCACTTACACAGCCTGTTGACAAGCAAACAGGTAAACATCAGCCGAAAGAGACAAACACGAGCTAAATGTTTCCGAAGGCTAGCTAAAAGAACATTAGCTACAMGCTAAATATARCAAAAAGCTAGCCAAAAAGGTGAAAGCAACAAAAACCTGGCTTAAAGTTAAAAGTAGATAAATGTAGGAAATGGGTAGCATAAAGCTAAAAGTAGCAGAAGATAAAAACAGAAGCTGAAGCAGATTTTAGGGAGAACTGTTTTAAAGAAACTGAAAAGATAATATTTTAAAACGTATAAAAGTTACAAAAAGCCATCTCCTAAARGAGCTGAACGTTTTGACGTGTGAACAGCTAAAGTAGCAGAACGTCTGCAGAAACACACTGAAAAAAGAAGTGTAAAGCTTCACAATAAGAGACTTGACAGCAGAAGAAAGAGCCACGTTAGCTCTCAGCTGCTAAATGCTACAGCGACAGCAGTGACTGTGTGAAGAGTCCTCACACATGATGGCTCCTCTCAGATCTGAAGAGCTGCTTCAGAAAAACCAGCTGTAATCGCTCTGAATGAGACCAGCAGCTGCARAAAATTGACCCTGAAGAGGGAAACGGTGCAGAAACTGAGCTGTTCTGGTTAGAAGTGGATCAGAACCACAGAAAGGCTCCAAACAGCTGAAACAGTCAACTCCAAACAACAGAAAACACAGTTAAAACACAGCTAAAAGGACTACTAACTAAATCCACCAGCTTGTCTCTGTCTAATCTGTTATAAATCAGATTAAAGTTGGTTAATTTGGGCTGAATGAGATTTACGTTAGTAAAATTAGTGTGTCTTAAAATCAGATGAGAGACGAAAACTAATAAATTAAAAGTCTAATAAAATCCCAGCTTCCCAAACAGTTTTTAACCTCYTCTCTCTGCTCTGCAGATTATCAGATGTTCAACAGATTAACAGGAACACAGGAAGGTTTGAGCTGATTCTGTTTCAGCCTGGAGAAAAGAAAAGAGCTGAGATGCTTTAAAGCAGCTGGAATAAAGTGAAAAGTTGTTAAATTAGTGAAGTTTCCCTTCAGATTTATTCGGTCTTTTCTCAGCAGCAGGAACTGTTTGAGCTGGAGTTTTAGAATAAATTAGCTTCACATGATGTGATTTTCCTGCTTTGAACAGATTACAGCTGTAATCTGTTGTGTGTGTGTGTGTGTGTGTGTGTGTGTGTGAAGAAACAAACCATAAACTGGATTATTTATCCTCACATATAAAATCATTTATTGTCCAGGTTTGACTCCAGAACAGATCAGTGGATGTTTGGGACTAGATCTAACAGATTTATTCTCTCACAGATTTATGGCAACAAATGAATGAAGATTTTACTACGATCAGAGTTTATAGAGCTAAGTTTTTACATTTTAATGTTTAAATATTGTTTTTATAAAGACAGGATTTCAGTTATTAATTTACATTAACAAAACCATAGAAGAAAATAAACTTTATGATTCTTATAAAGATGGATGGATGGATAAATGTATGTACTGTATGTATGGGTGGGTGGGTGGATAAATGGATGGATGTTTTGATGTATGGATGGTTGGATGAGTAGATGGTTGGATGAATGGATGGATGGTTGGTTGGATGTATAGTTGGTTGGATAAGTAGATGGTTGGGTGGCCGGATGGATGGTTCAATGAGTGGATGGATGGATGGTTGGTTGGATGTATAGATGGTTAGATGAGTAGATGGTTGGGTGGCTGGATGGATAGTTTGATGGATGGATGGATGAGTGGATGGTTGGTTGGATGGCTTGATAGATGGGATGAATGGATGGATGGATGGATGGATGAGTGGATGGTTGGGTGAATGAATAGATGGATGGATGGTAGGTTGGATGGTTGGATGGGTGGATGGATGGATGAATGGTTCAGTGAGTAGCTGGTTGGATGGATGGATGGATGGATTGTTGGTTGGATGGTTGGATGGCTTGATAGATGGTTGGATGAATGGATGGATGAGTAGATGGTTGGATGAGTGGATGAATGAGTAGATGGTTGGATGAATAGATGGTTGTATGAATGATTGAATGAGTGGATGGTTGGTTGGATGGATGTTGTATGAATGATTGTATGAGTGGATGGATGGATGGATTGTTGGTTGGATGGTTGGATGGCTTGATAGATAGTTGGATGAGTAGATGGTTGGATGAGTGGATGGTTGGATGAGTGGATGGTTGGATGAGTGGATGGTTGTACCTGTTTTAAAATGACACTTTGTTTTTAGCTGCAGTCAGACTAGCCTTTAGCTCATCCGTCCTGCAGAGTTCAACAGTTTCTCCTAAAGGAGTGTATTTAAAGATCTACTGTATCTACAACAGGCTCTTTGTTCCTCACATTCCCACAGAACCTCGGCTCAAACACTTTATTTCAGAGTTTGCTGTCTGTGGTGGTTTTACACTTCTGTTTGGGTTGCACTCAGATTTCTCTGCATTCTGACAACTTTGTTTCCAAGCTGAGCTGAAATGTCGCCGCAGGGCAGCGCCGCGGATCTCTGAGCTCCCATGGTGCCGAGCAGCAGATGGTGGTCACACTGGGCAGCTCCCTGTGGTCTCCCACCCTCAGGCTGGTAATCTCCAGGAAGAATCCAGTCCAAACGAGGCGTTCTGTGAGCTTTAGCTGAGTAAGCGCCTGTAGGCAGGGTGAGAATCTGAGATCCAGTAAAGATTTGGCCCAAATGGTGCCAGAACTATTTCTGTGCTTCAGTCGTGTGAATCCACCAAATAAAAAGTAACTTTACTGACTCATTGAAACAGTTTTCAGTTTGGTTGTTGAACAATTAGCTGACTGTCGTACATTAAAACATGACTGAATGGCTGCTTTGACATATTTAATGATTTTAGACAGTCACAAATTCTTCTTATGGCAACAACTTTATACTCCTCTTATAGCTTATTATATTAGTTTATTTATATGTAGTTTACTATAGTAACATTAAAACTTGTTTTTTCATCTTTCACCTTCATCAAATGTTGTTTCTACACAGCACTTTGTCTGCTGTGTTGCATAAAAGTGCTTTTCAAACAGTCGGATTGGAAGTATTTTTGTCTTCTTTCACTCAGTGTGTCTGTCACTGCACCAGAGTTCACAAACCAAAACTCTCATTGGCTTCTATTATATCAAGCTCTGACTTTTCTCTAATGAACAGGAAGTAAATGGTCTGTTTAACTTGTCACATTTCAGAAATAAAACTCAGAGGTAACAATAAATTATATATAAATGGATGGATGGATGGATGGATGTTATATGGATGGATGGATGGATGGATGGATGGATGGATGGATGGATGGATGGTTGGATGGTTGCCTGGATGGATGGATGGATGGATGGATGAATGGAAGGATAAGTTTATAAATAGATGGATGGATGGATGGATGAATGGATGGATGGTTTGAAGGATAAGTTTATAAATAGATGGATGGATGGATGGATGGATGAATGGATGGATGGTTTGAAGGATAAGTTTATAAATAGATGGATGGATGGATGGATGGATGGATGGTTGGATGGTTGCCTGGATGGATGGATGGATGTATGGATGAATGGAAGGATAAGTTTATAAATGGATGGATGGATGGTTGGATGAATGGATGGATGGATAGATGGATGGTTGGACAGTTGCATGTATGGATGATGGATGGTTGGTTGAATGGTTGCCTAGATGTATGTATGTATGGATGGATGGATGTATGGATGGATGGATGGTTGCCTAGATGGATGGATGGTTGCCTAGATGTATGGATGGTTGGATGAATGGATGGATGGATAGATGGATGGTTGCATGTAAGGATGATGGATGGTTGGTTGAATGGTTGCTTGGATGTATGTATGTATGGATGGATGGATGGATGGTTGTATGGATGGATGGATGAATGGATGGATGGATGGTTGGAAGGATAAGTTTATAAATAGATGGATGGATGGATGGATGGATGGTTGGATGGATGATGCATGGTTGGATGGATGATGGTTGCCTGGATGTATGGATGAATGGAAGGATAAGTTTATAAATGGATGGATGGTTGGATGAATGGATGGATGGACAGAGGGATGGTTGGATGGTTGCATGTATGGATGATGGATGGTTGGTTGAATGGTTGCCTAGATGTATGGATGGACGGATGGTTGGATGAATGGATGGATGGATAGATGGATGGTTGCATGTAAGGATGATGGATGGTTGGTTGAATGGTTGCCTGGATGTATGGATGTATGAATGGATAGATGGATGAATGGATGGATGGATGTATGGATGGATAGATGGAAGGATAAGTTTATAAATAGTTGAATTGATGGATAGATGGATGAATGGATGGATGGATGGATGGATGTTTTTCTGGGTTTAAATTTTACTTATTATTTTGCTGAATTTAGCTTTGAGCATTTGTTTAACTATTTTTAGCATTGTCTGTGTTCACTGTGCCTTTAACAACTCAGCAGTAAATTCCTGCAGTCCTTCAGAGTCAGAGCTTCACGTTAGCAGACAATGCTAATMCTTCTAGCTGAGTGCTAACTCAGTTTGAGCTGCAGCTACCAGGTGGGAGGATGTGACACCAGCTGTGTGACAGATTTAACGGTCTCCTGCACATGCAGACGCCACCTCGCTCCGTTTCCCCGCTCTCTAAATGTAGGTCAGAGAATCAGCCTGAGGGAGATTTCTCCTGACGCACAAACATCAACACAAACTCCGCTCCACAGACACACCAGATTAAACCACAGATGTGCATCTCTGCAKCCCGCTGAGTCACCGTTCTGCTCCCTCCTGGCTGACAGGATCAACCATGGTGACGAAATCACCACACAGAGCGTGACGCAGCTTTTAGATTCTCACCTCATGAAAGGTCTGTTTTACACCAGGAAACACCCTGTAGCTTTTTCTCCAGCTTTGACTAGTGGTGTCCAGTCCAGGTCTGAGGACCACTATCCTGCATGATTAGAGGTTTTTCTGCTCCGACGCCTGATTTGATAGAATGGATGATTAACAGGCTTACAAGAGGTAATTCAGTCACTGAATCAGGTGTGTTGGAGCAGGGAAACAAGTAAAACATGAAGGGTAGTGGCCCTCAAGTACCAGGATGTTTCCAACCAACTGTAACGCAAATTTAAGCAAACTTTTGAAAYGTCGCAAACAAAAGAAAAAACACGTATCATAAGTGCTTCATGTGATCTGGAGCGAATCAACCAGGCTACACACAGCGTAATCWTGACAGATGTTGACGTTGCGCATGGCTGTAGTAAACAGGAAGTAGAGGTTGGAAACTAGCAGGGACCACACATCTCAGTAATGCGTTGCTGTCAGTTGTAATTGTTTTGTTTTAACTGGTATTTGTGACGTTACATGTTGTCTGGAGATGTAGAGAAAGAAATGTAGTGAAAATACCCAGAAAGACACCAACAGCAGGTAAATGTTCGCTACGTCACAACTTATTCGACAAATGTTTCCATCTCTGTGYATCAACTCTTTTCAGAAAATCCAACAACCACCTCAAGTGAGAGTAAAAACTTTATTTTTGCGAAACTGAAGAAGTTTTTTTTTCGAACTTTGTAATTTCTATCAAGTTTTTCTAATTCGATTCTTCGACATATAAAACATGTCTGTCAGCTCTCTGCAGATGCTGATGTGGTCTTTCATCATGAGTCGTTATCCACAGATGGGACAGTATAGAGTTTTGAACCAAACAAACCGGACCAACTCCCTCATTACTGCAGCTGTAACCCAGCTCCTGGTCCATCCCACCATCACTGAGGAACCAACTCCCAGTAGAGAGAGACTCGTCCCACCTTCAGTTTTTGAACTACACACTGAGTTTGATGCAAMTGAAGGTTTAACTTACCTCCAGGATGAATAAAAAAAGTATTTTTGATCCACCTGCAGCACTGAAGTCAGAGGTAAAGGTGAAAATGAGAGAGTCRAACCTCTTGTGTAAGTTTAAATTCAAACCGTTTTTATCATTACAGCCAAACATCTGTCAGACCTGCTCCTTTTCTCTGTAAACGTTCAGATCATCAGTTCACTTCCAGGCAGCGTCTCTCCTAAAAATACACACAATCTACAGAAAAAAACCAGACAGCTTGAAACTCACTCTGGTCTCGGCAGGATAAAAAGCCGAGCTCGTTTCTTTGAGTTGGCCTCTGGAGTCGAGTGATTCAGTCGGAGAACAAACATCGCCGAGGTTTGTTTCTGTCGCCTCCTCCTTCATCACCAGTCGGAGCTTTGTGTCGTCTTCAAACTTCCTGCTGAGACCTGAAGTCAAACCTGACCTGAGCTCGTAAGAAACGAGGATCCCTGAAACGGCTTGACCTTTAACTCTTATCTGCAGGAAAGGTGGATCAGAGTCCGTCAGAGGCGAGGAGAGAGAAGCTGCTAATGGTGACGATAAGTGCAGCCTTTTATTCACAGACTCAAACTTTGTGTCAAACCGATGCTATTTTCAGGAAATCTGTAACTTGTAACAATGCTGTTTTCCCACACAGTGAGCCGCACAAAGCTTCTACACACACATCTTCAGGTGGATTTCTGACAATCAGGATGAAGAAGCCAAAAAACGCAGAAAAGTTCAGAGAAGAAAGCGAACAGGAGACTTTAATGCAACTTAATGCAAACTAAAAACACGGGGCAGATGGTAAAATCCAACAGGAAGACTGGGATTTATCAAGAAACCAGGAYCAAACATGGCAGAAAACACAACACAAGAAGCTTAAACACTGATGATAAAATGAGAAACAGGTGTGGAAAGAGCCTCATGGAGCCAGTGCTCCTCAGTAAACCTCAGTAAGAATGTTGCTTCATCAGGTCTACCCCTGTGTTTCCTCAGCTAACAGGATCATAATAAAACATTGAAGAAAACCCAACCCTTCTACCATGACTCATCACTTACACACTTCTGGGTCATTTCACTCAGTTACAAACCCAACGAGRCTCGAATGCACAAAAATAATCCTGCAAAACTCAACCCAACGAGACTCTAAAGACAAACAAAGATGWAATTAAATTATTTTCATTTCCTCCATGAGCTGCAGCTGCTTGTTTGGGTAAAMCCCATTGAGGCACAGTGACTTCCTGTTCCTGTAGCCCTCATGTGTGTGATGAGGCTGCTGGAGACAACTTCCCAGCTTTAATTAACCACCTGACTCAAACAGGTAATCAATGAGATAATTAACAGCCTGCTTATCCCCTCTTTACAGGTAAATATCAGCTGGTTGTGTCTGAAGTCTTGAACATGTGTAAATAACACCAGTGAGCATCGATGGTCCAGATGTGTCACTGAGGACCTGTGTCCTGATGCTGATAAAGGTTTGTGAATAATCAGGAAGAAGTTAATTAAAAACCATTTGAATGGTGCAAATGGCCTCATGTGGCTCTAAAAATGCCATAAAGTGATTTGTGAGGCGATGCAGCACATCAACTCAATCAGCCGAAACACAAAAAGCCGAAATTTACTGACAGGTCCACCAATAAAACCTGAAAATACTAAAAATAACCAGTTTATTTTTATGGACGGACAGATGGGACAACTTCCTGTGGACTGTCTSATGGACGGACAGATAGGGWCAMTTWAGGGGACAAAAGATTTGACATTTTTATGTCCTTGGATGTCCAGCTGGATCAGAGACGAGGTTGTAACAAAGGGTCACCTGTGACCTTGACTTCGTCAGAGATCAGGATTTGAAATCGTAGTTTRAAGAAAAAGATTGAAAGATTTCAGAAAATTCCTGAAGTTCATTAAAAAGGTGAACAACTGTGAAGCAAAATATAAAAACAGAAACTTCTTGATCTAAATTTAAACGTCAACCTCAGATTGTTCTTCCTGAGAAATCTACAAAGACTTGTGATGTTGGTGCTGCCTCCACAACAACAACAAAGACGACGACGACAACATAAACGACAACAGCGTAAACAACAACAACCAACAACAATGTAAACAACAGCAAGCTTGAGCATCCAGGGAGCCGGCAGCCACATGTGTTGCCGGTGAGCCGGAGCAAGGAGAAAAGAGTCAGACGGAGGCGACAACAGATCTGTCGCTCACAGGAAGTCACACCCAGTCCAGCCTGGCACCACCTCCGAAGGTCAGGTTCTGTTAAATGTGACGCAGAACGTGATAGCGATGAATCTGAGCGGGCCAATCAGGATGAGAGCGACTCCGAGGGAGACAGAGAGAGGACGACTGATTGACCCTTTGTTTTTGTTTGAGACGATTCAGACGAGCAGCAGGAAAACCATCAGCTGCTGCTCAGAGAGGATTTACTGAAAACCTGCATCCTGTCAGACCAMAGACCAGGAGCCCAGAGACCACAGRCCAGGGGTCCACTTCAGCTCACATCAGGCCATTTTAAAGAAAAGCTGACATAAGCAGTATAGTAGCTAAAAGCTAAAAATGCAAAATGCTCAGGAAAAAAAGGAAAATGCTAAAAGGAACAAAATGTTTGCTAAAAGCTAAAATGTGCGGAAGAAAAGTAAAAATCTGAAACAAGCAGAATAGTGGCCAAATGGAGCAAAATGGCAGCTAAAAAGAACAAAACACTAGCTTAGAAAGAGTAGAACACTATCTTAAAGCTAAAACAAGCAGAATAGTAACTGAAGGCTAAGGAAAAACATGATGGCTAACAGCTAAAATGTTAGCTAACAGCTAAAAGGAGCTAAACAATCAAACAGTAGGATGAGACAAAGCAGAAGCAAACAAACTTCTAACAGAACAATGTTTATCTCTCCATYTTCTTACACTTATCCGTAGTCAGGTCGCAGAGGCAACAGGTTCAGGAGAGAAACACAGACCTCCCTCTCCCCAGCAACACTTTCCAGCTCATCCTGGGGGACCCCGAGGCATTCCCAGGCCAGACAGGATACATAATCCCTCCAGCAAGTCCTGGGTCTTCCCCGGGGCCTCCTCCCAGTGGGACGTGCCTGGAACACCTCTAAAGGGAGGCGTCCAGGAGGCATCCTAACCAGATGCCCAAACCACCTCAGCTGACTCCTTTCGATGTGGAGGAGCAGCGGCTCTACTCCGAGCACCCCCCGGATGACAGAGCTCCTCACYCTATCTCTAAGACTGAGCCTGGCCACCTTACAAAGGAAGCTCACTTCGGCTGCCTGTATCCGGGATCTGGTTCTTTCAGTCATGATCCACGCCTCATGACCACAGGTGAGGGTTGGAACAAAGACAGACCAGTAAATCGAGAGCTTTGCCTTTCGACTCAGCTCTTTCTTCACCACGACTGACCAAAGCAACGCCCTCATTACTGAGGATGAGGCCTCAATCCATCAATCCATCTCCCGCTCCATCCTACCATCACTCATGAACAAGACACCCAGAAACTTAAACTCCTCCACTTGAGGCAGAGACTCTCCCCCAACCCGGAGGGGGCATGCCACCCTTTTACGGTTGAGAACCATGGCCTCAGACTTAGAGGAACTGACTCTCATCCCAGCCACTTCACACTCGGCTGTGAACCGCCCCAGCGCATGCTGAAGGTCTTGAGCTGAAGACGCCAAAAGAACCACATCATCTGTGTACGACAGAGACGAGACCCTATGGTCCCCAAACCAGACATCCCCCTCTCCACCGACTACGCCTTGAGATCCTGTCCATAAACACTACAAACAGGATCGGAGACAAGGGACAGCCTTGGCGGAGTCCAACACGCACTGAGAACAAGCTAGACTTTGTGACAAGAATGAGGACACAGCTCCTGCTTTGGTTCTACAGGGACTGGATCGCTCTTAGTAGCGACCCAGACACTCCATAGTCTCGCAGCAACCCCCACATAATACCCCAAGGAACATGGTCATAAGCCTTTTCAAAAAACACATGCAGACTGGAGAGGCAAACTCCCATGACCCCCTTAGCAACTCTGCGAGGGTAAAGATCTGGTTCACTGTTCCACACCCAGGACAAAAGTCACACTGCTCCTCTTGATTCTGAGGTTCGACAATTGACCGGAGCCTCCCATCCAACACCCTGAATTAACTTTCCCGCGGAGGGCGAGAAGTGTGATCCCACGATAGTTAGAACACACTCTCCGGTCCCCTTTTTTAAAAATGGGAACCACCACCCCGGTCTTCCACTCGACAGGAGCTGTTCCAGTCCTCCATGCGATGTTGAAGAGACATGTCAACCAGCACCACAACATCCAGAGCCTTCAGTATCTCTGGGCGAATCTCATCCACCCCTGGCACCCTGCCACCAAGGAGCTTTTTGACTACCTCGGTGACCTCTGCCATGGTAAYAGACTCATCTTCCCTGAGTCTTCAGACACTGTCTCCTCAAAGGTGGACATGGAGGGTGGATGCAAGAGATCCTCAAAGTGTCCCTTCCACCGCCCAACAATATCCTCAGTCCTGGTCAGCAGTTCCCCATCCAAGACAGGTAGAGCCTGGGACAGGGAAGGCTTTCCTTTTCTGAGTCGTCAAACAGTTTATCAGAACCTCCTTGAGGCCAATTGAAAGTCCTTCTCCATGGTCTCCCCGAATTTCTCCCACGCCCAAATTTTTGCATCCGCAACCACAGAAGCTGCAACCCTCTTTGCCACCCTGTACCTGTCAGCTGCTTCAGGAGTCCTCTGGGAAAGCCAAGTCCGGAAGGCCTACTTCTTCAGCCTGACAGCCTCCATCACTGCTGGGGTCCACAAGCGGGTCTTTTGGTTGTAGCTGTGACAGGCACCGATGACCTTCAGGCCACAGCTCCTGGAAGCTGCATCTGCAATAGATGCCCTGAACATGGCCCATTCAGACTCCATGTCCCTGACCTCCCACGGGACATGTGAAAAACTCTCCCGGAGGTGTGAGTTGAAGATCACATGGACGGGGTCTCTGCCAAACATTCCCAGTTCACCCTCACTATAAGTTTGGGTTTACCAGGTCTGTCCGACATCCAGGTGGTGATCAGTTGACAGCTCTGCCCCTCTCTTCACCTGAGTGTCCAAGACGTAGGGCTGCAGGTCCAATGACATGGTTACAAAATCTATCATCGACCTTTGGCCTAAGGTGGCCTGGTACCAAGTACACTTATGGACCACCCTATGCTCAAACATGGTGTTCGTTATGGACAACCCTTAGCACAGAAGTCCAATAACAGAACACCATTCGGGTTCAGATCAGGGAGGCCGTTCTTCCCAATCACCCCCTTCCAGATCACTCCGTCATTGCCCACATGGGCATTGAAGTCACCCAGAAGAATG